GAAGTTTTGACAATACTTTTGTTCTACTCAGTACAATGTATTATACGAAGAGACCCAGCAGAAGCTTAAGATGGAAATGATGCTCAAAGGGGTAAGTTGTATTATTTCTATTTCAAGTCTAATACCAAGTATCTACGACTCTAATGGATTTACTATCTAATTTTGACTTCTATTCTTCCGTATCCTCTAGTTTATTACCAGAGGTTTAAATGGGCATGGAATAGGCAGAGTATATTATACATAATATCGTTAAGAGTGCCCAGGCAATTATTTTTTAAATATAAGAGGTATCAAAAACGTTTCAAAATAATACTCGGAATATCTAAAATATGGAAAGGTTTTACTTTTGAACAACTGCTTTGAACAAGTTGTACTTTTTTAAAAGTAAACATGACTTTGTTTTTTTTTTTCCGATTAAAAGATAGTTTTATAACTTTATTTATAGCAGTTTCGTTATCTGTAAACTTATAGTTACATCTTGAAGTAGGTTAACAAACTCAACAAAAGCAGATAAGAAAATATAGAACAAAATGCAATAGAATAATTTTTTTTCAGGGTCTATGCTGTGTTCTATTCTCTACATCAAACAATAAATAAATAAGATTATAACGAAAGAGCTTTTAATTAACCATACTTAACAGCTTTGCTCCGCTATAAGTATGATGTCTTAATATGTATTTTTGTTATTTTCCTATTATATAATTTGTATTGCCTTTTTTATGTATAAAATGTATGGAAGTGTTATCGATCGTCAATTGTAAAATTTTTTTGTCCACTTTGTATTTTTGTTAATTTTTTTATTATTAATATTGTGTTATGAGGTTACATACAATAAACAACATTTTATTTATTTTCAAAGTTTTTTTGTTATCAAGTTTTTTATTTCTCGTTTTGCACTGTTATTATTGGTTAATCTCGGTGTTTTGATTATAAAAAAAGAAGATAGATCAAAACATCACTTAAGATTTACAGGAACCGAACACGGAATACACTGATTGTCACACATAACTGCCTGAATTACTCTATGTATTGTATAGAAAGTGTCTTTATTAATTTTTCAAACAGTTTCTTTGCTTTATTAACATGAAATATTTTGAACGTGACAACAGCAGTGGTCTCCGCCTACCCCAGTAGGAAACAGGTGTGATAGTCTGCAACATACAACCTATCACACCTGTTTCCCACTATTTGCAGTATTTTTTTTAAGAATTTTACAAATTCATTTTTCACTTCCCGTATGAAATGATTAACGGCTGGTTTGTCAGTAACATTTATATTCTGTGGTTCCGGCTTAGTGTTGCCCTTGAAATAACTGTTTCTACTACATACATATATAAATATCATCACCTGTGTCCAACCGGGGTAGATAGATACCATGAATCTCCACCTAATACGCTCCTGACAAACCTCCTTCTGATCGACATATTTTTACTTAATACTTTTGTAATTAATAGATTCAGGCGCTATTAAGTTAATTCGCGAAGTAGTAAATGATGTACTTCCATTTTTTTACTTTTTTATAATTTTTTTTCAACTAATTATATGTCACATTTTTAATAATGTTGACAGTGAACTCACAGAGTTTCACTCGTTTAAACGGCATCACTGTACCGAAAGAACATAAAATCAATTCAGACAATCATTTGCCTTCCGCATTTACCTTGTTGCTAATGCCTTAGGGCGCGTTCCAATTATGTCGTAACGTTTTATTTATCGTCGGACGACTGTCGCATCTAGCCTGTCCCACTGGATCGTGATGACAATTTATCGGTTCACGGCAGTTGCCTTTCGTTTGCACGACAGAATCGTTTGAAGCCGCGATTATCTGTCGTCACATTTTTATCGTGGCGTTTTATTTATCATCTGACGACTGTCGTTCCAGCTCTTCCCATTGTCACAAAAGTCTGACGTCGACGTTAAAATTTCAATATACAAGCCACTGTGTCGTCACGACATAATGGGAACGCGCCCTTTGGCCTCCTACTGATGAGGTTGACCGAATTTTTCGTCGTAGAACGAAACATGTTGCTTAATCAATAATAACCATTTAAATATAATCAAAATGTATATAATCTGCTTAATTATCTCAATTATTATTACGTCTTAGGTGAGAAGAAAAGAATCGATCATAGAATCCCGTGAAGACATACTTCGAGCTTCAGTGGCATCTATAATGTCCCTCATACACTCATCCGTGGGCCGAGCTTGCGTTAAAATGTGGCAGGAGATGCGAAGAACTAATTACGTCACTCCAACTAATTATTTGGAACTTGTGTCCGGGTACAAAGAGTAAGTTTGTTTGTTACAACAGAAAAAAATCACTAAACGCAACACAAATTCTCATATGTATTATGCACCAACACCATTTCACAGCTACCCATTATTATGAAATCTTTCATTCGGGTCCTGGGGGCCAATCGCGCTAATTGTCAAAGGTTTAACCAAAACCTCCAACCTCGCCAATCTGACACGTTGTGTACATTTCGTATCGCGCTAACTGTCAAAACAAAAACCTAAGCCAAAACTTAGACGTGTGACACGTAACGCACATTTGGTATCGCGCTAATTGTCAAACGTAAAACCAAAACCTAAAATGTTGCAAATTGGTATCGCGCTAAATATTTTGACATTTTAACCTCACATGTAACCTTGGGGGAATAGATTAACCTTTGCAAGGTCAAGGTTTGTGTGGCAGTTAATGGAGAGTAACTTTTCACTACGTTTATCGTATATAAAAGATGTTCCACGGTTACTTAAATGTTTTGGAAAGTGTTTATGAGGTGGATGTGGCCTAAGAACGGGCTTTAAATAAAAGAAAAGCATAGAAAGACGATCACATTTAACATGTCTGAGGAGAAATTCCGCAAACGATATACCGTTTGTCCACGGAATTCATTTCAGGATTGGTGGAAGAACTATGCCTACATATTCTCGTTAAAGGACGGTCTGTTGCATTGGATGTGGAGACAAAGGTAAGGGTTGAGTGGAATCCGAAAGTTCTCAGTTTTGCATAATAACCAAAATTTCTATACTGTGTAAATCATTATTAATTTTGTTACAGATTTTAATAGCTCGTATAGTTTTTAACAACTGGGGCGTACCAGACCCCCATTGGCAAGTGCTTATCACCCTTTCCCAAGTCAGTGTCAGAGAGGCACAAGCGGTAGCTGCTTCAAATAAACCAGTTATTATGAATAAATATGCAGCTTTCCTAAAAGGCATGCCGAAAGAGATGGTATTAAAAGGCGGTGAGAAAATAAGCTTTACAATGTACATCATATTTATTAGTTCTTGTCTTATTTCCTGTTGTTATTATCAAATTAAAATTACAGGTATAGGTAAAATATGTATAGTTGTATAAAAATATATTACAAGGTTACAATTAATCTCTTTTAACACTTGACTTTATACAACATATCGTCCCCTTACAGTGAAGCCTCACATATGCATTTTCAGTTTGTTTTTACTGATTTTTGTTGAATAAAAATTAATAATGTAATAATATAGTATCTAAAAGAGGTATAATTTAAGTAATTAAAATGCTAACTACACACATTATTGCATTTACTATACTTCACACCATATTTTTATCTTCATCCTAAAAAATTACATAGAAATATGAGGTATTCATTCTAAGATGACGATGTATACCTATTGTAATTGTTTATTATCTTAATATCTAAATTGATGTATACTTTTAAGAGGTTGAAATAAAAAAAAGAGTGTATTTTTAGTTTATTTATTGCCTCAATCTACCCCAAATCATCCTTCATTTCCGGAGCGAGCTTGCTTTTGATTCTTCAAAGAAGTCTGAAACAAAAATATGTATATAGGAAGATTGGAGACCTAAATTTAAGACTGTGCCATACCTCTCATGAGAGTAGTGACAGATAAAGCAGGATGGGTATTTATATACATACAGTATGAAGCCAACATAAACGCCAGAATGTTTAGGGGCCTTTTCAAAATACATTTAAAAAAATGTTTATATCACTGTGGAAATATAAAGGGGACAAAAGTCTACAGATTAGACCTTTGTTCCTTACGCTCTTTCAGATTTCCACAATTGAACATATCATCAGCAGGAATTAAGAAAACATGTTGAAAACAAACCTGTCATTCTTGTTAAATAGTCTATCAAAAAGGTTAACTGCAGGCACCAACTCGGTAATTGCTTTGCAAATGGCAGCTACGGATTGGGCATGCAGATCATCTGCTTTGGCAGAAATAATAGCTGCCTCAGCCTGCACCCTGCCAGCATTCACTTGCTGCAAGAATGCTTCGCATGCTCGCTGCTCCTCAATGCATAAGAATTCTACCCGGCTCTGCTCCAACGCTCATCAGCTCGCTGTCAACGAAATAATAGATGTGATGGAATAAAGAGTGTGAAAGAATTTGCTCAAATTGAAAGTTACTTTGTTTTTTAATTAATAATAAAGAGTGAGAAAGTTACTTTGTTATTGAATTGTATGTTTGAAGTTATTTTGTGCTAGAGTTGGTGTCCTTTAGGAAGGTTGGTAGGGCCTCTGCCGCAGTCGATGTGGCGTAGATTCTCACCCTGCTTTTCATACCATTCCATACCTGAATAACAATAATAACATCGCATATTATAGTGATATGAGTTCTGGTACAATAACGGTGAGTGATCCACTCACTGTATCCTATTACCTCGCATTATAGCTCACCTTTTGGGATCTATTGCGGGGCCACAAAATAGCCACACACTCGCACCAAAGGCGTGCTGATAACACGCGCGAACAACGCCGAGCGAAGTCATTCTCAAGCCAAATCTCTGTGCGATTCGAACTCCAGCAAAGATGGAGCTGGCTTACAGTGGTCGCTCGCCGTCCGACCGCATCCACACTGGCTGAAATACGAGCATCATTATTAATTCTACATTGCTAACATTTCGAAATTAATAGTAGTTAGCGTACCTATTTGATTGTATAAAAAGATACTATTTTATTAAATAGAATATTAAAAAAGGAAAACAATGTGTAGGTACTTGCCTCTGCGTGTTTTATCTACAACAACAACACACTAAATTCAATTAATTTGGTTCAAATCACAACACATATGTTTGTTTACAATAGAATTTAATGACATTTCTTTTACACACTTTTTTAAATCGCTCTTTTATAGACTTGAATTCGTAGATATTGACATTTCAGTGCGTTTTACGGTAAAATTTAGTCGGTTTTAGGAAGTCAAGGCACGTCTCTTAAAATTTAATACGAGGTTATAGTTTGAGGTTTAACTGAGGTTTAGGTTCATTAAAACTGATAGCGCGATTGCATTTTGTGCGTCGGTAGAACCATTAATTAACCAAAACCATAACCTCAAATGTTGTACGGTTAAACCTTGCGAAAATAGCGCGATTGGCCCCCTGATTGAATAGTCTCGAGAGATCTGACAGTCGACTGCCACTTTTTATAATTTTATTTTTGTAGTACAACTATTTATTATTACCGCTAACCTTGTAACTTGAGTTAAGTACCATAACTTAATTAAGTAAAGTAACTTTAAGTTGTATTTTTAACCGACCCCAAAAAAAAGGATGAGGTTATTTTTTTGCAGGTATGTTACACAATGACACCGACATTTGTGAACCGATTTTGATTATTCTTTTTTGTTTTAAAGAAGGTACCTCAGATGTAGTCCCATTTAAATTTGAAGAAAATATTCCACTTCTAAGGGTAGCAAACTAGGGTTTGAATGATTTTTGTGGTCGGTTTTTTTAAAACTCTATACTGAAATTATAGCGCAGTCGAGTCGAAATTAGTTTTATAAATCTCAGCCTAATTGGCTATAATATGGTCGTGGTAGCCTAATTGTTTGAACTACCGCCTGTCAGGCAGAGGCCGTGAGTTCAAATTCGGGCACCTCCGAGTTTCTCGGAATGAGCTTTTCGGTGAAGGAAGACATGTGAACTTTCACGTCGAAGAAGGTTCACAACCCTCGGAAAACGTATAAAGTTCCCAGCCTGCATTCGGCTAGCGTGACAGACTATTTTCTAAACACTCGCCTGAGAGGAGACCCGCGCCCAGCAGTGGTATGTATAAATGGGTTGATGATGATGATGAGCCTAATTGGTCCTACTCACCTCTTCATTTAGCGCTCACAGCGCAAACCAATAGCAAATTACCGAGGACATCTAAAGTAGCAATAGAAAGTACAGTCAAACAGGTTACATGCATCAGTGCGATATTTTCTTTATTTCCAGAATGCTGAAGACCAAGAGGTTCGACATTGCCTTGCAAGCGAACAAGCTGAGAAACGGTCTGAGCAAAGTAGAAGAAACTACTGCTCTCGTCGCTTGTATGTCCGAGGAATTGGCAGCTTCTCAGGTAACATCAATAATTACAGGGCGTGAAGCAGATACCAGAAGTGCCAATGTCAAACCTTCTTCCGACATTCAGGCACGTCCTGATGCAAGGAAACAAATGATGATATGGTGTAAGATAAGTTTTGCAACCGCAACACAATCAGTCATCTATCAACCAACGACGGGTGACCTCGTACACCTCCACCTCCACCATGGCACATCACTGGTGACCCTAACTACATTTACCTGCAGTATGGAACGGCTGGTGTGTTGTGTCAGGTGTCAGAGTAACGGATCTTTCAATGTAAAATTTGGATATCACCCAGGAACCTCTCAAAATGTATTCAGTCGCCCTATGCTCTCAAGTAGCGCCAGTCTATAACATATTTAAACATCTGTCATCGGTTTTGAAGGGTAAGGCCACACATAGGCCCTCGGAACGCTTTTCCCGTTGTTCCAACCGAACACGGGAACGGAAAGTGAACGCGTACCGGGGCGTGTCACACAACAGTCCCCAAGCGTAGTTCGCGGCGGAACAGCGGCCTGAAGGCGGCACCAGTGTAGTGTAGTGTGACACCAAAAGCGGCCATGTTACATTTTCAACACAGATCTTAAAGAATAAACCACATCGCTCTCGGATATTTATCTAGAAAATTCTCTGCTTGATATTAGCGTTGCGGGAGCAACACAAAAAAAAAATCAGTCGAATTCATATTGAAATTAATAAAAACACATTCAAGTGTTGTAAAAAACCTCAGTATAGAGTACTAAAAAACCGGCCTCAAAAGTCATTCATCCCCTAGTTTGCCAGCCTTAAAGTTGGAATATTTTCTTATGGGACCATTCCGGATTCTCTTTTCAACAAAAAAAGAATCATCAAAATCGGTTAATAAATGCTGGCTGGAGTTATCGCGTAACATATTATATACAAAAACTTTTTTTAAGTCGGCTAAAAAATACAACGTCAAAGTCCGCTAATGAACGTAATACATTACAAAAATTCCCGCGCCCAGAACGCACCTGCGCCCGTCTCTGTGTGGCCAGAGTATTAGGTTACTAATGAAATTACAAGCACATGAGACTATCAACCTTGTCTGTCTCAGGGTGATGGGCGCAGCGGCAGTGCCCCTCGGATCTTTGTGTTTTAAAGCTCTGAGTGGCACTGCAACTGTTATGGACAGGCGTGTCGTACCTCCGGGCGCACGATTTGTTCGTCTCTTCACTTGGTATTATAAAAAAACGCATTGACAGTTTACACACATTCAGGATACATGTTTTAACAGGTTCAAGTAGCAGAATACACCGAACAATGTATCGAATACATGGGCATAATCAGCGTGCAGCAACGCAACGCCGATGAGCAACAGCGCAGCGTCGCCGCTCGAAGCAAGAAAACTCAAGAGGAAGAGGGCCAGTGCAAGAAACTCGCCGACGCCGCCATGAGGGACTTGGCGGCTGCCATGCCAGCTTTGGATGAAGCAACAAAGGTGATGTTTAGATTATCACCTAGAAGGTTCAAGAAGAAAAGGTTCATCAAGGGCTTACAATTCATCAAGTTGTCGTCAATATACAATCCTCAGCTTCTGTATATCATGTCGCATTTTAAGAAACCGTCCCGGCCATAAACTCGTGGCAATTTCTGGATGGCCTTTTTATATTGGTCTTTGTTAGTATGGTAGAAAACCTTATAAATTCATATTACATTTATTTGCCACACACCTACAAATCCTATCATCGAATATATAATCAGAAATAGAGACGAAATGTCCTTTAATTTGTTGCGTTAAACTGCGCTCCGATTGGCCAGCTCGAATTCGAAACAAATGACAGGTGTCGTCAATTGTTTCACTTCAAGTCGACCAGTTTAACTTGAGCTTTGCTATAATGAACGAATTTTATAATTAGATGGTTTATTGTTTTTTCCTCACTACCGAATGGAACAGCCTCCCATTGTTAGAGATATTATCTTTATTACAATAAATACAGAATATCTTTGGAATCTACGGAGAGTTATACACAGGTCAGTGGTTGGCGCGGTACTATTTCAGCTTTCTAATTTGTGATTTCATCGCAAAAGAGAGTTGATATTTAAAAGGATATAAGGCCCATTTGCCTGGTGAATTGCCAGGGATGGATGGCCCTTAATTCGTCTCTATTTCTGGTTATATACTCGATGAATCCTATAAACCAGCAAACCTATAATCGACGATGGAAATTTGAAATGTCATATGGGACGTCTCTTATAAAAAAAATCCTTAGAAATTTCGAATTTCCACCGTTGATATAAAGGTAATATTTTTGTTGCAGTATCGAATTTCAAAATATCGTAAAGGACATTTTGTCGTACGGGAAAATGTCCCTTACGACATTTCAAATTTCTACCGTCGATATGTTGTGTTTTCTTCAGGCTTTGGATGCTTTGAACAAAAAGGACATAACAGAAGTGAAATCTTACGCCAAACCACCGCAGAAGGTCGAGATGGTGCTGGAGGCAGTTTTGATCCTCTTACAAGTAAGATATGTTTGTTCTACTTAATTAACAACTACTACGATCTTTCTTATGCCATTAGGATAAGCAGCTAATATATTCAGGAAATTAATATAATCTGTCTGACAAAGAAGTCGTGCGCCTGATGGTAAGCGACACGCCTACGCATAGCAGTTGCAGTGCCACTTCGAGCTTTAAGTCATAAAGGACTTAGGGGCACTGCTACTATGGTCGTCATCCTGAGACATAAATTGACAAGGATCATGACGGAACATAGTACTGTGAGCGTTGCTGTTTGACGGTAGAAATAGGTAAGGTAGCCTGCTATTAAAATTTATACGCCCTAACATCACTCAGTCATCAAATTCTGATAACTTTGTTCTTTTTGAGTACAGCTGTGAAATAGTTCGTCCAGGGTAGTGTTACCTTACCTATTTCTGCCACCAAGCAGTAATGTGAGTATTACAGCATTCCGGTTTAGAAGGGCAAGGGTGCTGGTAAAATTACAGGCACATGGAACTTGTCAACTTGTCTCAGGGTGACGGGTGCAGTGGTAGTGCCTCTCAGATCTTTGCAATTTAAAGCTCTGAGTGGCACCGTAACAGTTATGGACAGGCATGTAGTTTACCATCAGGCGCACGACTTGCTCGTCCGATGTTATAAAGAATAAAAAAGTCGTTTGATTAAAATTACTAAGTACCACGTATTTTTTTAATCAGAAAGAACCAACATGGGTGGAAGCAAAACGCCAGCTTGGAGACCAGTACTTCCTAGATCGACTGCGTGATTTCGACAAAGACAATATTCCAGACAAAGTATTAAAGAAGATTGGTACATACACAGCGAAACCCGATTTTGATCCGGAAATCGTGGGAGTAGTGTCGCTGGCAGCTAAGTCACTTTGCTTGTGGGTGCGGGCCATTGAGAAATATGGAAAAATTTTCAAGTAAGTCGCTTAGGTTTAAAGAAAAACTTGTCTAAGAATAGTGTGGATCCATTGGGCGGGCAATTTTATTTAAAATGTCACAGACGAAGGAAATTGAGGCGCAAAAGCCTGGATAAGTTTCAGTAGCGAGGCGTGAAAAATGTCATCAAGTGTAGTACAAAAGAAATCATCTACCTTAAGAAAAAGTGGCGCCTTGACGACACTGTAACAACTTATTAGCAGACACGGTAATAAAATGAAATGAAGTCAATTATTTAAAAATATTTATAATGTAATAATATTTGGTAATACGTGGAAAATTTTAGGCAAGACGCCTCGCCACTGGTAAGTTTACATAGACCAGATAAAAGAGAATGCAAAAGTGTTTATAAAGCTGAGATGCTTTTGGAGAGAGCTACATTGGAACGCTATTAAATAAGGGGCCATTTTATATTGGTGCAAAGAATTTAAAACATGGACTAATAATTCAAGGGGACTGTTAATCGACGATGTAGTCGGGTATTTATATTGGTACTCCAGATGTTGCGATGCGTACCTTTTGTAATTTGACTTATAATTTATCAAAGCTACGCTAACTTCTAGTGCTAACAAACAAATCAACTAGATGGCTCTTACTATTTACTTGTATTAGCAAGCGTTAATTTATAAATTAGTTTGTAATACACAATGCCATTTCACACCCCTCATGGAAGAATGGCAGAATTGGAGTTACTTCAAAAACGTTTATTGCTCATAAACTATAACCCACATTCTCTCCAATTCTTGTAACTCTTAATATTGTAGATGGAGTTACAAGAATTGAAGAGGATGTGAATTACATTTTTCTGTATCTAAGGAGCAATAAACATTTTTGACGTAACTCCACTCATGCCATTCTTCCCTGAGGGGTGCGATTTATTGACACGCATATTTGTCAAAGTTCAGAAAATAATTTTGGCTTATGGTTAATATTTGAATAAACTGTAGTCCGTCTTTTTTGACGACGGAGTACAATGACATTCGTAGGGTTGCCAGTTTTCATAACTGTTTAAATAGTTATGAAGTAGTTGTCGACAGTTTTATCGATAGATTGTGGAAGGAGATAATATTTTGCCAAAAATTACTGGATTGTGAATGATACGACGTTCTAATGATTACTAATTTTGTTATTGCCCTCCTTATACTTATTTTGACAGTTGGCCTACTAGTATCCAGATCAATTTTTATTTATATACATTTTAACAAGAATAGCCGGATTTGATTATCTATGTTGAATTAATATGACAAACTTTAAAATATGTCTCCACTTTGTATTTTTCACAAACATAGTTCTGACATAGTTCATTCATACATACAGCGTATGTGTGTATGAACTTACAAAAATTGACAATTCAAATGAACTTGTGCTCAGTAATTGGATGAATAATGGGTCGATGTTGATTCAAATGAAACAAGTTCGACTATTTATTCCATAAGTTTGAACAATATTCATATCGATATTCGATGGAATATTTATCGACTGCAATCACTAGCTTTATAGCGGGCAACACTTTTGCGCAATGAACTGTCATTTTACTCCGTCTTCAAAAAAAAACATATGCTTTCTTGAAGGAAAATCAGAGCGTAACAATAACGTTAAAACCTTGTTTAACTGTACGCGCCCGCAGTTATCCTTAACTCAGAGAAGATAACACAATGTAAAGCCAACGTCAGAGCGCTGTATTTTTACTTGGCAACTATCGAGCAATATTGTGCGTGTGTAATTTACTCGCATTGTAACTAAATTTTCTATCAATCAAATTATTATCTATCAAAAATAACTTGGTAAATTAATGCTGATTGCTGAATTTCGATGACTACGTTTCTAAAATACTATTTATAATCTAGGATCGTAAAACCGAAAAAGGAACGGCTAGAAGAAGCGTTAGAATCTCTGCGAATGAAGCAGCAGATCCTTGCCGAAGCGCGAGCCAAACTCAAGGAGTTGAGCGATTTGTTAGCGCGTTTGCAGAAAGAGTATGAAGAAAAGGTCGCTCAGAAAGAGGAGTTGGAGAGGAAGGCCAGGCTCTTGCAACTGAAGCTCGAGAGAGCCGAGGCTTTGATTACCGGGTTGTCAGGTCAGTGACAAATCACATTACAAAGGGTCGTACTGATTTTCGTTACCATAAATGTTTGCTTAGGTATCAACAAGTCGTCGGTGTTTTGTTCAAAGGGCGTAAGCGAAAATTCGTAGATTTTTCAGGGGATCATGTTTTAGCTTTTACTGACTCTTTTATAGTACATTATTGCAGAGGCCGCGAAGTAAGGGATTGCATGATCAGCGAGGCCTTGTACTAATACGAGTCAAGCAATCCCCGTTCCCGCCGAGGCATATATAGAATTTTTCTCAAACATTACGAGGCAATAATAAAAGACGTAAGAGAGGAAGATGTATAATAGAAAAAGTAAAAAAATATTAATTAACATTAAAATTTATGCAATACCATTGCTAAAAGAAAATGTTATTGGTTTCCAGGCACATTAATAATAGTCTGCTGAACTTCTGATGATATCTATTACTGTATTTTCGTTACTGTTCTTCTCATTTTCGTGTTTGTAGTACTCATTTTCGCGTCCAAAATACAAAAAAGACGACAAAACAAAAGAATACCAAAACACTTTAGTTTAAATGTCACCGACATTTACTTTTTTTTTTAAGTAAGTGGTACAGGTAGGCCTTTTTAATTCTCACAGTTATGAACACCGGCAGTTGGTTGTATGAGTTTTTCCTTTGCCTGTTTACATAGCTTATTTTTTTAAATTTATTAAGCCTTTGGCAAAGCCATCAGTCTAAACATGAAGTTTAATTATGTTTCTGTAAATATGGCCGTCACAAAGAGGAAAGGCAATTTGAGGCGGCGTGCTTGGATTGACTCGGGATTCCTTAAAACGGGCCGATAAGGGTATTTTAGTTCGAGATTCGTATAATTTCGCGTTTTAGTCTTCGATTAAGGCACAATAGCACTATCCTATTCCACTTTAAACTAGATTTCACAAAATAATTAAAAGTCAATATAAAAACGTCACTTTTCCCTCCAAAAGGCCCAGAGCGAATCTTTACATAGCTTATCTAGATTTAAAAGTTTAGAAAAGTGGACAGTAATGGATTTTTATACTTACTTCCCGACATTGGCTGGGAAGGATTCTCACGGTCCATATATGACTAACTTCCCGTGTTCGTTTTTTGAAAGTAATGCAAACATTTCCGAGCATGTTTGAGAAAAAATATTTGCATCCTGTTTTAAAATTGAAACATTTAATTATAACTAAAACTGAATTTTACAATAGGACGTAAATATTTTAAAACAGTCGTTAAATCAAAAAAATAATAAGTGGTTTACGCCCAAATACCGACGATATGCAAAAATGCTATGTATCTAGTGTTACGGTTTTTACCAAGCAATAACCAACAATATATATGTTCCCTAGGGTAATTAGTTTGTGAAGTATGCATTGATGTCCAGGTGAGAAAGAGCGCTGGGAGGCGACGGTGGAAAGACTGGACAAGGAGTTCGACAACCTGCCTGGCGACAGTCTGATCGCGACCGGCTTCATCGCGTACCTCGGCCCGTTCGTTTCAGAGTACCGCGAGGAACTTATGCAGGAATGGTTCATGGAGGTACATGCAGTAGCACGTTCATCTGATGGACAACTCGCCCATCACGCGGAGTGTACCTCAGGTGGTCACGTGCACAGACATATCGACTGTGAACTGGCAACCTGTACTATCACAATTTTGACAACTTTACAGGATGAAAAAAGAAAGATCATTTGATAGCATCTGGTTTATTAAATAAAAATACATAGTGTACATACATGCATGTGTAATAAAAATTGTTTGAAAACTACATATTTTTATTTAATAAACCCGATACTGTATAAATGACGTAAACAATTTTTTCTTCATCCTGTTAAGTTGCCAAAATTGAGATAGTACCGATTGCCATTTCACAGTCGATATATCTAAAAAGACACCGCAAGTACTGCGCTTTGTATGAAAATCAAGCGTGCCATTTATGCACCTCCCGTGACGTCACAAGAGCTATTTAGTGTTGGGAAACCTCTTTCGGCATTAAAACGCTTAATTAAATCGAAGACGCGGACGCGGTGCGTAGAATAATGATGTTTCAAGTATTTGTTGATTATAAGAAGCCGAGAAATATTAATATGGTAAAATAGATTACAATAAGATAATTAAGTTCTTTATTAACACGTGTTTTGAAAAAACAAAATATTATGCTCCTGAAAACAAAACAAAATTAAAGAATATTTTTATAACATTTTGCAAGGACTTACGAAGTATCATCCCTTTGTTTCCTAAATCGATCAGAATCTAGAACTGTGAAAAAAAAAAACTCGACGAAGTGGCCGTACCATGAAACTGAATGCTTTATACAAAAGTATCACTCGTTTGATACTCATGGCCTACTGAAGAAGGACCACAAGTGTACCGCACTAAGTAAAAGCCGTAATGTAATACGAATCAAGCGCCATAGTTTCGTTTGCATATTTGTTTTCTCGATATTCATTAAAAATGAAAATAATTGATTTTAAAATTAATTACTCATATTCTGATAACAAAATTACATAACTGTGTAAGGAAACGGCCCTGTTAATTTATCTTCTCACAGCTGTAGTGTTTTTACTGTTTCTAATGGCACAGTTAGACGTTTTTCGCGTTTTATGCATTGGAATTTTATACATGGTTCTAGAGTTGGAACGCGCGACCGTATAGTCAATAAACTCTTTTTGCAGGTATATAACGAACAAGTGCCAGTAACAATGGACTTAAGTATGAAGTATTTCTTATTGGATGACGCTACCCTACGAGACTGGAACTATATGGGATTGCCAGGTGAAATATTTTTCGCGATACTTTGTACATTTTCTTTTTTTTCTGTTTTTACTTTGCATTTTTTATATTATCTTGAAGTGTTTTACGCGCCAAATATTATTGGTTGTTCTATAACGTTTGTTACAAGTTTCGTGTAACAAAATTTTTGTCACTTGGGAAAGACTGTTACTTGTTGTTTCTGTGTTCAATTGACTCGTTTTTATTTTAAAATACTTGCAACGACACCCCTTCGGTATAATCGGTTTGTTTTCCTCATCGGTCTACTTGTTTTTCTCGATTCTTATATTCCTCATTTCGTTTATTTTCCCGATCGGTCAACTTCTTTTTCCCGACTCATCTATTTCTCATTTCGTCTACTTTCTTGACCTGCTTTTTAATTAAAAAAAAACAAAATTCTCAATCGTCTTTTAGCTATTTCATAGGTAAGCGCATTACACTTGAAACTGTCATGTTGACTAAATTCTACAGCTCATTCTAATAAAAACTGTAGGGTCTACTTTTGACACCACCCATCCCATGAGCATACAGTGAAAATTCGTCAAATTTTGCCCCCAAATATGGCGGTAAAGATGCGATAAGTTTTTTATATGTAAAATAAGTAATGAAGACTTGCTATGCATTTCATTTTGCTAAATGAATTTACAAAGGTAATGTAGCAATGAATTTCCTGAATTATGTTCGTTTTTATCGAGTTTTTCGTTTTTCGCGGTTGTTACACATAGGAAATGAAACTATTTTTCCGGATTTAAATCGCGTATATTTGTTTTTTCAAACAAACCAAACTTTTGGGCCCTTAACAAGCAGTCAACCGTGATCATGGGACCTGTAAAGGGTCCGAAACATTGGTTTATTTTAAAAAACAAATATACGCTTTTTAAATCCGGAAAAATAGAGTCATTTCCTATATATATAATAATAATAATAATAATAATAACGCACACACGCACTAGGGAAACCCTGTGTCGCGGGTGCCATGGACACACACGTAGACAACCACAAATTACACCCAAACTCACGAGAGAAATAAATGTAAGCCATACAAATTTTAACTACCTCCGTGGCCGAACGGTTACCATGCCGGACTGCCACGCAGAGGTCCCAGGTTCGATTCCCGGGCCGGGAGAAATATTTGTATGGCCTACATGTATTTCTTTCGTGAGTTTGGGTGTAATTTGTGGTTGTCTATGTGTGTGTCCATGGCACCCGCGACACAGGGTTTCCCTAGTGCGGGGCTATGTCGAGTGTATGCGTTATTATTATTTAAAAAAAAAACACTTCTCCCGGCCTAGGAATCGAACCTGGGACCTCTGCGTGGCAGTCCGGCATGGTAACCGTTCGGCCACGGAGGCAGTCATATGTTTTTGATTATCACTAATTTCAGGTTCCTTACCACGGTATGACTTCTTTTTATTTTCCCGATGTTTCGCGACGGTTGCACGCTCCATGGTCACGGGAAACCTGAAATTAATGATAATCATTTAGTGAATAACCACGAAAGCCTTAAAATCTATATGTTTGTTTTTGTTGATTATTCATTAACTTTGCTAGTGTTTTTTGTTTATGTTACAGGTTGTTTTGTCGATGTATAGTGATTCTTATGTAATCAGTATGTGATTATTGTGCATCGAGTATGAAACCAGAAATAGAGTTATTGAATGCCATTTCGTCTCTATTTCTGGTTATACACTCGATGATGTAGAAAAATATATTTAATTATAACCATTTTTTGGAGTATACGGCGTGTGGCGGGTGTGTGCTCACGTACAAGCGCCCCTGCTATGTTTCTATGTAGTTACACTACTTCTTTGTTATACTATGGTAATGCCGTGTAAAAATATTTACAATAAGTAACTTGCTTTCCAGACGATAATTTCAGCGCTGAAAATGGTATAATAGTAGTTCGTGCAACAAGATGGCCGCTAGCTGTGGATCCCCAAGGTCAGGCCCTTATTTGGATATCCAGGCTTGAGGAACAGAACGAGATAGAGGTAAAACAAAGAGTTGTTGGTAGTCCGTCTCCTACACTAGTATAGACGTCACAAATCAATACTAACGTCAGTAATTTAGAAATATTAATGTTTTGTAACGTATTTGCTGTATAACCATCGAGTATATAACCAGAAATAGAGACGAAATAAGGGCCATCCATCCCTGGCCATTCATCTGGCAAATGGGCCTTATATCACTTTTAAATATCAACTCTCGTTTGCACTTAAATCGCAAATTAGAAAGCTGAAATAGTACAGCGTCATCAACTGACCTGTGCGTACGTCTCCGTATATTCCAAAATTATTATCTATTTATTGTAATTAAGATAATATCTCTAACTATGGGTGGCTGATCCATTCGGTGGTGTGGGAAAAACAGCAAAACATCTTATTATAAAACAAACGGAATCACATTTCATGGGTAATTAAACACTTTTCGTCCATTATAGCAAAGCTCAAGTTAAACCGGCCGATTTGAAGTGAAACAATTGATTGACACTCGTCATTTGTTTCGAATCCGGTCTGACTAATCGGAGCGCAGTTGTCACCGTAATGATTTGGCAGAATAAGTTTTCAAACAAATTAAATGACATTTCGTCTCTATGTCTGGTTATATACTCGATGCTAATAACTGAAGAGGACTGCTAAGCGCGCTACAAGACGGCGCAATAAAAATCCGTAGCAGTGATTAGTTACAATCAGTCAGTCATGAGGCAGTCTCAATCTATGATGTTTGAAATAAATATAGCAAATCTTCGATCAAATATATTGATTGAAATTGTAAATGGTAAAATGAAGAGCAATCCCTAGAGTTCTTCTCAGGGTGAGCAGTAGAGTTTCAATATGACGATTCCAAGTGTGATTTTCTTACGTACGAATTAAAGATTTGACGTTGACCTTGAAATATAGACTAAGTTTTCGATTTCTTAGATTGTCGACTTTGGCCAACCAAACTACCTGAAATTAATGGAAACCAGTCTGTCAGAAGGCAAGCCGATTTTAGTCCAAGGTGTCGGAGAGGTGCTCGACCCTTCCATTGCACCGATCCTTGATAAAGCTATCGTCACAATTGGTGACTCAAAAGTAATCAAATTTAACGAGAAAATGGTATCGTTCAACTCGGCTTTCAGGTTATATTTAACTACTAAATTGGGTAAGTGCATAACTGAACATTTAAAAGTGATGATTAGATTATGGTCTTTTTTGAAGACGGACTAAAATGACATTTCATTGTGCAAAAGTGTTGCCCGATGGCAAGCAGCTAGTGATTGTAGTCGATAAATATTATATCGACTATCGACTGAATGTTGGTTACGCTTATGAAATAAATAGAAAAAAAATTGTTTCATTTGATTCATCATCGGCCCATTATACGGCCAACTGCTGGAATTTTCAAAAATCAACAATCCAAATGTGCCTGACATTTGGATTGTTGATTTTTGAAAATTCATTCATACATACGTTAAATAATGAAATATATTTTATTAAAAGTACAAATAGGCGACATAACATGATTTAACTGCCTCTGTGGACGAACGGTTACCATGCCAGACTGCCACGAAGAGGTCCCAGGTTCGATTCCCGGGCCGGGAGAAATATTTGTATGGCCTACATTTATTTCTCTCGTGAGTTTGGGTGTATTTTGTAGCTGTCTATGTGTGTCAATGGCATCCGCGACACAGGGTTTTCCCTAGTGCGGGGCTATGTTGAGTGTTTGCTTTAAAAAAATAAATAGAAATCTAAAGTTTTTTAATTTAATATACATAATAAAATTTGTGGAATAAAGTTGAGTGATAGAGTGAAGAATACAATAATACGTGAAAGATGTAGCTTGAAAGAGGGTGCAGTGACTAGAATAGAGAAAGGAATGTTAAGGTGGTTTGGGCATGTAGAACGGATCTAAGAAGAATGTCCTCAAAAAGGCTGGCATCCGAAGTGATAAGAATAAAAGAAGTTGTATGAAAAGGGTAGATGATGTATGTGAAGCTCGAGAGTATAGAGCAAAGTGGCGTTCCGTGGTCTCTGCCTACCCCTCCTGTGGGACTAGGGCGTGAGCTTTTTATATATCGTATGTACATAATCAAATTCGCCTGTTGATATTAAAATGTGTATGACTAAAAATCGATTTTGATACTACAATTGTGAAAATAAGAATAAAGAAAACAATAACGCAATTAGTAATCGTTGAAACGTCGTAATATTCAGCAATTCAGTCATGTTTGGCATAATTTTACCTGTGTTCATAATCTATCGATAAATATATCGACAACTACTACATGACCATTTAAAATTTTACGAAAATTGGCAATACTGCAAAAGTCGTTTTACTCCGTCTTCAAAAAAGATCGACTATAGATCTTTGAGGCCATTGGCGCAAAAGTGGTGTAAATCCTTCCCCTTTCCACCAGAAGGGGACTAGACGTAGGCTTCCGTTTCACCGCTATGTTGTGGATATTCCAAAACTTCGCAAGAAGCGTTACGCTTCCACATTTATATGGCGAACGGCTATGGAGTGGAATTCCCTGCCTGCAGACTTGTTCCCTGAACGCTATAACTAGGTCCTTTTCAAGGCGAGAATGAATAGGCATAGTTTAGGTGCATGCTCCATCGTTGGCCTCATCGTCACTTTCCATCAGATGAGATGGAGGTCAAATGCATAGTTATGCATAGTCAAATTACATAGATAATTAATTTAATTTAAAATTTAAAAAAAATATGATGAAAGTTACATGATGTAATTTCTTGCATCTGGTCAACATGGGCTGAAGAATTTATATTTACTGTTAATTCGAGAGGTTACGATAAAATATCTCGCGTTAAAGATTAAGGAAAACGTCGTGATGAAACCTGCATGACCTAGTAGGCTCACAACTTTTGGAAAATGTGGGAAGTCTCCAAACCTGCACTAGCGTAGCGGCAAACGTAGCGGTCTATGGCCTAAACCCTTAAAGGTTCGTCATTGATCAATCATACACGATATGACGAATTTGATCGACAGGTAATCCCGTATACACCCCCGAAATCTTAACAAAGACAACCATGGTTAACTTCGCGGTGAAGGAGCAAGGTTTAACTTCACAATTGCTTGGCATAGTGGTGCGCAAGGAGAAACCACAGCTGGAACAGATGAAGACCGATCTGGTGCTAACAATTGCGAGGAATAAGAAAACACTGGTATGTTATACGATGACAATTAGCACTTTTTAGCTCTGGTTGCCATGGCTGAACTTCGGGCTCAGGTTGACCGGGAGTTTTTTATGGTACCAAGTAAAGGGACGAATAAGTGGTGCGTCTGATGATAAGTTACACGCCTGTCCATAACAGTTGCCGTGTCACACAGAGCTTTAAATCGCAAAGATATGAGGGACACTGCCACTGCGCCCGCCACCCAGTGACATAGTTCACAACACCTGGAGGCAGAAATAGGTAAATTGGCAGCACTTCCTTGGACGAAGTAGGGAAAATGCCTTACTTCGCTACTTTGGAGTGCAAAAATGATAATCGCATTTGTAATAATGTCAATGGTGGTATTTGGTATCACCATTTAATCTTATTTTATTTAATTTTATCGTAATCATTTTTATACCGCTGCAATATGGAATTTTTTTGGAGAGCTTAGTAAACATTTCATATCGTCGTCGTTCAGCTATTAACCACTAGATGGCAGCACTCACAACAATAGGTATTGATGGTATTGAACTTCCAACGATATGCCACCAGTGTCAATTATATTAACAGTCGGTAAAATACATTCTGTATTTCTATTTAAATTAGAAACTGACCGATTATTATAAGATTTCATAGTGTTTCACATTATGAATGTGTGAGTTTTAGCGGCAGCGGTTCTGATCAGGCTTAAGCCACTTCCATTGTTTTTTTTTCTTCCGTGGGCGCGACGAACAGGCGGAAATTGGACTACTTGTCTTGTTATACTATGGTTTTAACCTTTTTTTTAATTATGCAAGAAAGCACCAAGTTAAAAGTATTACAACATTTTTAGGTGGACTTGGAAAACGACCTGCTCCGCATTATGTACGAGTCTCAAGTACCACTGCTTGAGAACGAAGAGCTGTTCGTGACACTGCAAACCTCGCAAAAGACCTCGGCCGAAGTCAAGGAAGCTCTAATCACTTCTCAGGACACTGAGAAAGAGATCGATTCTGCTCGTCAGGTAAGAGCCTCTTCCTGTGTCGCATTTACTTGCTGTGCCTGATGTAGGAACGAAATGATACTCGTGAAGACGCTGGATATACACACACTGGCACATTTAGCGGAATAAAAAATAAATGAGGATATAAAATAGTAACATTTATATTTGTATATAGTATTTTCATTTATCTGTTTCGATTCTATCGCTTCTTTAATGTAGGTATTGTTTTTTTTAATGAGGCGGACATGTTCAAAAGTTTCCAAAAAAAGTTTATATTATAATTAAATAAATAATAATCACTTAACCTTAATTGAAAATAAAAACTAAATTAAATAAAATGCATTTTTTACATACACATAAAATTAAAAAAATCGTAACAGTTCAACATTGATTAAATAAAATTTTAATAATTAAAAAAGAACTTTTTCCTTAGTAATTAGGAAATTTACTTTTATTTTAATTGTCATAGTACGAAATAAAAAATATACAAACATACGATTATTTTTTTATTTTCAAATTAGATATAAAAAAATAATAAAAAATGAATAACAGGCCATGCAATTGAAACGCACTGCATTATTTTGGGGATTTTACTAATGTTGCGTTAAAACTCCCGGTATGTGCATAATCAATGTATGTATAATTTGTTGATGAATGTTTTCTGTGTGTAATTGAGGACACATCTGCTGCACTGACACTCGATTGCCAAGTTTTTGCAATCTGTTCTTGGGAGCAAATAAATCTCTCCACCACTGCCGCAGTTCTATGTAAACAACCTTCAAAATATTCACCATAAAACATTAAAAACTGTGGGTATATATTCATTTTTACATTTTAGTAAGGCCTGTAGTAGTGATGCCTAATTGTTGGGTCTACCGCTTCTCAAACAAAGGCCATGGGTTTGAATCCGGACTCGCAAAGTTTAATTTGAAACTTGAGAACTTTTACCATGTGGGCGAAGGAAAATAAAGTGATGAAAACTGCACGTCGAAGAATCATCTCAACCATCAGAAAAAGTGTAAAGGACAACCCGCATTGGGCTAGCGTGGCCTATAACTTACTTTAGTAGTACTATAGCTCCTTGTGACAGAGTTCGTCCGGGGAAGTGCTGCAACCTTACCTATTTCTGCAGCCAAGCAGTAATGTCAGCATTACTGTGTTCCGGTTTTGAAGAGAAAGGGTGCTAGTGAAATTACAGGCACATGGGACTTGTCAACTTATGTCTCAGGGTGTCGGGCGTAGTGGCAGTGCCCCTTAGATTCAACTGTTATGGATAAGCGTGTAGTTTACTTTATGGAACATTCTAGTTTATTTGTCCCAGGGTTATGTTCCAGTAGCAGTCCGCGCTTCAGTGTTGTTCTTCGCGTTGAACGACTTATCACGTATCGACCCTATGTATCAGTTTTCGCTGGACGCGTACATCGACCTGTTCACGTACTCCATAGACCGCAGCGCTAAGAGCTTCGAGCTTGAAGAACGCATCAGTAATTTGAATGAATTCCACACTTATTCTGTTTACAAGTGAGTTTTAATATGTCTTATACCGCATAGTGGCCTAAAAAAATATAAACGATTGAAATTTTTACTAAGAAGTACCAACGCCTGCCCTTTGTATTATGGCAATTAAGCACTAAAAACTTTTGCTTTTTTAATTTAATCAGGCATTTCTTCGTACAATTTTCAATCGGTTATATTTTTTTAACTAATGCAGATAAGAAGCGTATAGGTACCTTTAATTCGTGAAGGTAACAATTATTGGTAATACATACTTCTGGAAAATCTGCTGCCTTCATGCTGAACGAAGTGGCAACCAGTCATCCTGACGTCAGAATGGCTGGTCAATTATTATTTTTTATTTCTCAGAATATATCAAAGGTAGCGATTATTTAGAAGAAGTAGCAAATAGGTATGGATGGGCTTGTAGCTTACCATCATGCGCACGACTTGTTCGTCCCGTCAAAAAATTAAAATTTCAACTTTAAAAATTTTTTTAAAGTTAAATTTAAAAAAAATATCCAAATTACTATTCCAGGCTGATTAAGGCCTAGAAGCCCGTGAATCATCCCATACCCTATGATTCCCTAGGAACACCTGCCGAGCGCTCTTCGAACGGCACAAACTCCTTCTCTCTTTCCACATTGTGTCACGTATCCTGTTTCAAGCTAACAAATTGAACATTAACGAGTACCTGTTCCTGTTGAAAGGTGGCGTTGTACTTGACAGGTCTGAACAACCTGACAATCCTACTAGTAAGTGAATTTCGTTATACGCACGCCGTTAAACATATTTAATGCTTATATTTAAATAAATAAGATTTAGGAATATATTGTAATTAATATCGAATTCTGGAATTATAATTAGTTTACTGAATGCATGTTAAAATTTTTCACCACCGTGATATCCAATTACTTTTTGTGAAATTACTCCTCTAGCTTGTTATAATTATTAATACAAAGATCGAACACTCAGAAAAAATGAAGAAATAAATTTCTCATAGATGGCGCTACGGTAAAAAGTCGTCAAAAACAAAAAAAGATCTGCAACATGCACATAGAAAAAAATCCTTAGGCCCGCTGGTTTGTTCCGTGACTTATTTGGCAAAGAGTCTGGCACGGTTGGCTAGAAAAATTTTTTCCAAGTGTTCGATCTTTGTATTCATAATTATAGAAATAAATTAGCAATTAAATTAGCATCGATTTATCACAGCCTTTCTCAACCCTTATAGAAAAAAAAATCGAAAGTAAACAAAATGCATTTTCTTAGGTTTTGTGACAAATCTTTAACGGCTGAAAATGTAACTGTTAACATTGATTACATCCATTTTACTAAATATAAAAACTTTTTACCTGTCTCCGTAGCCGAACGGTTACCATGCCGGACTGCCACACAGAGGCCCCAGTTTCGATTCCCGGGCCGGGAGAAATATTTGTATAGCATAATAAATGTAGATTTATTTATATCGTGAGTTTGGGTGTAATTTGTGGTTGTCCATGTGTGTGTCCGTGGCACCCGCGACACAGGGTTTCCTTAGTGCGGGGCTATGTTGAGTGTGTGCGTTATATTAGTATTATTATATTATTTTTTTCTACTAAAGTTCAAGAAAAAAGTATAAAATGGTAAAATAGTCAATAAACAAAACTAATTGTGTGTGTAATGTGTTCTCATTACATAATGTGTGCTTTCACTAATATATATATACACAGCACGATTGTCAGTGCTGTTAGACCCATGAGTAAATTAAATTTATTAATAGTAAAAATGTACTAAAAGATCATTTGAAAGATTTGGTATTCAACAGTATTTTGTATAGTATTTTCTCTTTACAGATTGGTTGCCTGAAGAT